TGGTGGCTGACTAAATACTTTTTTGCCCCACTGTACAATAAAGTAACACCTTGAAACTATCGCTGAAGTAGTATTATTTAATTTGACATCTACTATTTGTTACCTGAATATAAGAATGTGGGCTTTCTGTTCTCTGTTCTCAATGCAACACTCGGGTTCAAATCCAAACCCTAGAGACCTTTGCTGCATGACCCCTTTCTCCCCATCCCATTTCCTTTCACACCACCGTCAAAATTAAAAGCGCAAGAACCAAAAAAATAATAAAGAGGAATTAAAAAAGAAATATACGTCTGACTAAATAAAAAAGGCAGATTTTGTTTTTGGAAATCTCTGTGACAGGACACAAGGACCCAGTATTCAAGGCCTGACAGACAGTGGGATTATTCAGAGTGTTTATTAAAAACAGAAGCGGGCTGTGGAACCATGGTAGGACACAGATAACTGGAAGCTCTGGTTACACAGTTAAGTCAATAGCCAGAGAACGAGGCAGGATCCAGAGGGTGGGCTGCCAACAAGATGTGGTGGGCATCGACCAGAGTGTCCCAGATGCTACAGCCCCGGAGAACAAGCAGGAGTCCGAGCCAGGTCGGGGAAACAGATCAGAACAGAAACAGGCTGGTTTAGGGTTCCAGGAGTCCACAGACAGTTCAGGCAGAACGTTCAGATGGGAACAGGCACGCTCAGTGGATAAGAGGCAGCTCAGGATCAGGAAATCAGAAACACTATGAAACACTAAAAACCCTCTCTCCACTGGCCCCTGAATATGAGCACTAGAACACGAGCATCAGCATCAAACTGGCCATGACGGCTGGGACTAAGCCGTATAAATATAAGCAGGCGCAGGCGAATTAGATGAGCAATAATTGGAAACCGGGCAGAGTTAGACAGGTGAATGGAGTGAAGAATTAGGCCAGCCATCAGTACCACGATCAAGACACTCTGGTCTTAACTAATGCTTTACTTTGTTGGAAAAGTCAGATCATGTCAGGAAACCGATCCGTTTAATTGGGCTCTATGAGTTGCTCTATAGTTTGTCAGAACTCTTTCAGAAGCTTGATGGCAACAAAAGCTGTGTTTCATATGCTACTTCCTAATTATCTGTTAAAAAATACTAGTGGAAAGAGATTTACATTTTTGTCTACATGTGTAGGGAGGGTTTTGGTTGGAAAGCAATGAATATAAAGTCTTTTTCAAGTTTTTGTTTTCAATTGATCAAAGTTGCTGTATATTCATTTCACCATGGACAAATAAACGTAAATAAACCTAACCTAAACCTAAAACCTAATGTAGTTTCTGGGCTCCTTGGTTGGTGTTATATAAAGTAAGTGCTCCAAAAGACACGTATGAAGCTATAATCATCCACTTGGCTTGCCAAATACAACAACTAAACCATTTTCCACTGCACATACCTCATTATTGCAGTTCTTTTGAAACGTTTTGCCCAATGTAGGACACATTGAAGTGTCATATTTCGGAAAAAACATCAATAAACCTCTTCAGAGTCCTGAAACTCCCCAGCAACGCATATAGAGGGGTCTATATGTGCGCAAGCACAAGTTGCAGGCGGGCTATAAATGCCGTTCTGTGTCTGATAATAACTTGGAGAAGATGATTTATGGCTGACCTCCTTGGACAGATTGTCCCCTGCCTTTCTCTTTCTTTCAACTTTTTGACTTGAAAGAAACCGTAATGCACACACACGTATGTCTTTAAAACAAATTCTGTCTGCTTTTTTTCCCCACTTTTTGGGGAAAAAGAGATTCAGAAACTGCAGAAAAACATGCACAATTAAAAAAGTAGCCTTTTTGTGTGGGTTTTTGTATCAAACAATTCGCACTGCACAGTGTTAAAGGCATGCAATCTCATATGAACACCTAGTGTCATTATCTGTGTGTTGATTTGCCATTCTGACCAGCAGTGTGGTGAAGTTATTACCCTAATAAAATAAAAAGCCAGATTCCAGGATAATGTCTGTGTTTCCAGGAGCCAGGAGGAGAGTCCTTGAAGGAGCTTGTTGAGGAGCGGATGTGAGGAAGGACAACAACAAGCTTTGGGATCTGGAGAAGACTCGATATAAAGGCTGACCAGGACTGGCTGAGGCTCAGACCGGTGGAGCCCTGCTCATCTTAAAGAACATTTCCCTAAACAACTTACCAAGGCTGACAGCACGTGAGTGACTTATGGCTTCCTCTGCTTCCCTGTCTTTGAGGCTTCCCCTCACACTCCTTTATTCAGGCTCCTGCCTCTCTGCTCTTTGGCCTCTATTCATTTCACACATCTCTGTCGCTGCTCTAAGTTTACCTTATTCTCTTGAGCTCCTTGTCGGTCTTATCTGCTGAGCCATTTGTTGCTCTGCCCCCACAGAAAGCCTTCTCATCTCCGTCCTTTCTCCCTGCCTATCTTTTTTATCTGCTGGCCAACGTTTCCCTTACATAAGCAGGAGATCCTCTTGCGTCCTTCTCTCTGCTTTTATCAGCTTTAGTTTTCCTTGTGCCCCTTTCAAATGTTGACCTGCTTTTGCCGTCACATATTCTCCCAAGCAGTTACTAAGTTCTGCTAGTGACCTGAACCCTGGGACACCCGCAGCCCTGGCTCTTTTGTGGGATCCCTGTCAATAGACTGTGCTCCAATGAACCAGTCGATGCACAGCCAAAGCGTAAAGGTGTGCTTATGCACATTTCTGCAGGTGAGAGGAGGATGAGCATGCGTGGAGCTGTGGTGGGATGCGTGGTGCTGGTGTGCCTGCTGGCTCTCCTGGCTGAGAGGACGGAGGGACACATCACCTTTTTCAGCCCCAGTGAGATGATGAAGTTGAAGGTATACAGTTTGTGTGTCCATCTAGTTAATAAGCAGATTACAGGAAGTTAACCAGTAGCTCAAATGATTCTTTTTTTTAAGGTGAAATGGCAATTCCTGTCTGATAATAGCTTGAGTGTTAGAGTTAACTGATTTGTCATATCTTTCTGTTTTTGGATGAGAAATGATATTATAAACTAAATGTAAATGTTATAAAGAACCCCTCTGATCAGCAGCCACTCATAAACTCTATAGAAAACAGCAACTTTTGGGATACTGAAGGGGATTTTTAAGTATATTTGTTCAACTACTAAGGTAATTGGACTCAAAAGTATTTTAAACAACTGTGTAATGCCTTTATGTTATGAGAGACATGTGGTTAGGGACCATGAGTAGAGCATGCTGTTCTATAGATGGTAAAATATACATCAAGGTCTGGCCAGTAGCTTTAAAATGTTAACCTATTCAAAAATAGATTTAGCATGAAAAATAAGAAATTTCCGCTATAACTTCACTGATATATTTCTCTTTTTTTTAGTTTTTACGGCACTAGTGGCTTGTTTTTTTTTTACAGTAGGTTGACAGGAAAGGGGGTATGAGAGAGGGGGAGAGACATGTGGCAAAGTACCACAGGTCAAATTCGAACCCGGTTGGTTTTGTCGAGGATGAAGGCCTCCGTACATGGGTCATCCGCACTAACCACTGTCCCACCTGCACGCCCCGCTGATATATTTCTAATGTTCTGACAGATCCTTTAGTCTGTTGAAAAATCGCAAAAAATTTGAAAAAAAAAAATTAAAAACCATTGCATAGTCATTTTGCTTTGGAGAGAACTTTACCCATTTATAGAGATACACTACAAACGATCTAAAATGAGGAAACATTTCTTAAAATAAGTGTGTTTACATTTAATTTGAGTCGGTATATAAGATGATATGCCAATGGAATGCGTCTTTTATTTATCATTATCTCTAATTAGATATTATGGCCTTAAAAAAAGAGATTGTCGTTGTGTTTTCTTAGTTTAAATGTAAATTGTCATAGTCCACTTGAAGAGTGTCTCACCTACTAAAAAAAATGCACCCTTTTTAAGAAAAATTGACTTACTTAGATATCTATGTTTTGCTATGCAGTCAATTAAATCATTATATATGTGAGCAATTTATTTCATTAGCAGCAACCCCCTCCCTGCATGAAAATGCAAATACATTTTAAAAACAAAGCAACAGTTTTTAGTCAGTATTTCTGATTTTCTGTTCTCTTGTGCATCAGCAGCAGAACGGCAAGAAAAACATGGAGACTCGATCAGAGGACGGTCAGTTGGAAGAGGTCACCGTCCAGCAGGCTCCTCTGATAGAACATAATGGGAATCCTGTGAGCAAGCAGCCTGCAAGACCCTCTCTAGCAACAAAATCCAGATGAACAACTTTAGTCATCCTCTCTTATTTTGTCTGTCATTTCCAGGATAACACATTGGAGGTAGCTGTCCGTCTTTTACCCAGGCAGGTGGATCATGTGTCACCAGTGCTCGAAGAGATTATCCATGAAATAGTGGAGCAAAGTCAGAAAGGTATTTCATTTGGGTCTTCTCGATTTTCCAAATAAAAACTAGCAGACACATGCAAGCAGTAAACCTTGATTGGAAAAAAAATATGTGACCATCATTCCCTCTTAAATCTGTGTTTCTGCAGCCAAATAGCAAGGCCAAGGGCACGGCAGGAGGGACGAGGTGTAAATTCTTCAGAAAAGCACTGAATGCTCAAATGTTTTGTTGTGTTTAAATAAATCAGACAATAAAGGGAAATGATTGTATCATTCTTTGGCGGTTCTGGTCTATTTCTTGAAAGAGAGAGAGCATCAGCATCTCCTGTAAATGTTGCAACTCTTTGTTGAAAAGATTTTCCCTAATGGCTTTAAGATGTCATCTGACATGATTTTTAAGACACTTGAGAAAATGTTCAGCTGATTCAAATTAGACAACATCATTTAAGACTAGGAGATTCATATCAATGAAACAATCACTGCAGTTCATTTGGTAGTAAATCATACAAAACAAAGTGTTCAACAAGTCCCAGCTGCCCACATTCTCTGACATCATTACTTGTTCCCAGTCCTTTGGAAGTAGTTACTTTAGAGCTTTGAAGTCAGCTTCTCACAGAACTCAAAATCCTTCACGGCGAGGGCGGCGTCTCGAGCTAAAGGGGCAGGAAGGACCAGGGAGCAGTCACTGTCAAAATATTTCCCAGTCACCCCCTCCAGTTCCTCGGACACGGCGCAGTAGATGGGGCTGATGGCGCCTTCTTCTGGTGACTGTGAGGGAGACAGCATCAGTGGAGCGTTAGTGTGAATGATGCCGTACAGACGGATATCTAAGCAGGATGGGCGCAAAGATGCAGTTAGGCTGAAAATCTATGCCCTCTTTGTTTCCAGTTAGTTGTTAAGCTTATTAACACGTAGCATGAAGTTGAAGCTTGTCAAAAACACAGATTCACTTAAAAGTAATTTGTTTTCATTTGGTTGTATTTCTTAGAATCAGATAATTGACCGTCTCACATCACAGTGATCTCTCCATTGTTTAAAACTACTGTAACTCCAAGAAGTGATTCTCTTAAAACTTATGACAGCCCTTTTTAAAGATATCGTTGATGTAAAGATGTTTTGCATAAAAGAGACAATTATTTACAAAATAAATATATAATATCTTACCATAAATAACATATTACCACAAATGAGTGGATTATTCCACTAATAACTTAGTTATATACAATAAGATTCAGCTTCCAGGCTACTTGAGCTTACATTCTCAATAAATCATAGATAATCTGATGAAGCTGAAATAAAATTCTGGTGTTCCTATTGTTTTTGTCTTGAAATTTACTCAGTTGAATCAATTTACTAAAGGTTTAAATGGATCTAATGTATCTCATTGTGTCAGTCAGTGAAGGGTATGGAGGGAATCCACAGCGCATGCCAAAGTAAAGGTACATACGAACAACACTGGAAATATGGAACATTACTCCATTTGGACATTTCTTTCAATATGATGTAAAAAACTTGACTTAGACTGGTCAGTGAACAACAGAAACACTGAAGGAGCTGCAGGAAGTTCCAACAAGGATTGGCGTCATTCAAAATGTGAAAAAATGTTTCTGGTTTTTGACAAAGGAGAGAGCTTGCAAGACAGAAGATGATTATTCCTGAGTAATAAAATAAAATGAGCCTGCAATCTAAACAAAAAAAAAACAAACAAACCCAAAACTATTCTCCCATATCCACTGAAACTTTGGATAAGAGATAAAGTCTTTGATTATATGCAAATGCAAAACTTAGAACTTTCAGAATGAAAATTGGGAAGAAGTAAACAGAAAAATCCCTGAAGTGGAAATTGCAACTGGAAACATATGAAGTTTCTCTCTAACTCCAAAATGGCTGCTAGTCGGGGAGAGAATTCTAATCTGGACCAGCGTGCCATATGTTCATGTATATGCACACCTAGTTAAATCACTGTCATATCATTCTACTACAGGTATCACTATAGAAACCCGTTTTAGAGCAGCTGACTCACCAGGCGAGTAGGGGGCATGGTGATTGCATGGAGTTTAAGGTGGATTTTAATATTTGTGGATGAAACAAACATTTTGATGAATAGGAAAGGAAGGAGAGCAAAAAAATTAAAAAGAAATGCAACCATACAAGGCACTAATGCCAGAGGAGTTGAAAGAAATTAAAGACTAGAAAGAAGAAGAAAAACACTCCAAAAAAGTAAGCAAAGGGGCAGTTATAATATTAAGATACTATTTTCAAAAGGAAAATTAAGTGATGCTGAACTACATTTATGAGCAGCTGTTGTTTTGGCTTAGAAAACATGCAAAGTGAATCAGACGAACAGGTCCCCCCCCTTGGGAATGGGCAGTCGTTGGGTTCTTTGTCAGCCTGCAATACCCGATACCTGTCTTTGCCTCTGAAATGGGTGTCATTAGAAGGAATTGTTGGCTAGGCTCAAAGGAAGGTGCTCTGCTCCCCTGCATGGGGGTGGGGCTCACAATGATAGTGGGAAGGAATATATCGCTGTATTGTAGGTTTTTGCAAGCTGAAATCTAGGTCAACCCCCTATGTTTAAGGTTCGTTTTTCTTTCTTAACATAGATGGCTGTCCATATGGACAAAAAACATTCTTTTGAGGACCAGAATGTTCACATTTTGGACATAGAAGACAGGTGATTTAAAATGGGGGCGTGAGGGAAGCGAATGACTGTGGATAACTGAAATTTCTTCACCAGCGCAAAGTACCATTTTTCTTAAAAATAAAAAGACAACAACCTAAAGAGCAGCACAGGTTTAAATGAGTGAGCAAAAAATTAAAAAGTTCAATATAGTTTTTAATCCAAGCTTCACACAATAATACATCAGGTTATCTCTCTTTTCCGGAGTTACAATGCAGAGAGGCTGCGCTCATAAAGTGTAATAAATAAAGTGTGAACGTTATTTAAATTTCTATGTAAGTTAAAAGATAGACCCCAAACCAGAGATCTGTTATGAATCATTACACTCAGATTTGCTCATATATTTGGCAGAAAATATTTCTTCCTCTTCTTTTGTAATAATAATAATGTGAAAATGGGGACAATTCCCAATTGATAAAATGTAAAAGTTGAGGGGGGATGAGGAGGGATGGCATCCCCTTTCTTAAAAAAAAATCTTAAAAATCCTCCCCCTTCTTAAATGACTATTCCCTCATACCATCCCCTGTGACATTTTATCAAAGAACGTGAGAATTTCTATTATATATCAGCAGTAATGGCAATAATATTGCCCTTCCAACATTTGGCAGGCTGTGTGCTTACAAGTAGTCAACGCGACTGAGGGAATGTGAAAATAAGGAGGGGGGGGGAATTTTCCACAGGTTCTAAGTTGCTGAGATCTGCCTCCCATGCTTAGTCTGAGAAATAATGTGTTTACAATTATTCAAGTTTCTCCACATAATCAAACCTGCTCTCTGTAATTGTGGTTCGAATTTCATAAGTCTGGGACAATAAATGTGAAAATAGGAGGGAGGGAATCTTCGGCAGGTTCTGAGTTTAACAAATAAAGTGTCAGAAATGATCTACAATGGTGTTGATAGCAAAATCAGGAATTGGCATTCACTGAGCAGAGAATTTATTTATCACACTGACTGTAGGACATTGATTGAAACGTGTCTCCATACAAGTAAAATCCTATTAATTCGAATTCATCTGTCCACCAAAACTATCAATTCTAAGGCTTCAATGTATAAGAAATATGAAAACATTAAGAATATATTAAAAATGTCCCTTTTCGTTCATATTTCAATCCGTTTTCTCATCAATTCGTGTGAGTTTAGGGCTATGCGCGCTCCTGCGACAGGGGAGGTAATTCTCAGCACAACAGATCAAACCCGGAGGAGATCATTGAAGCAGGGGCCGATTTAGGAAATTAGGGCCCCCCGGCAAAGACAGGCATGGGGCCCTCTGAATTGAGAAGACAACTCATAATACAGACTCATAATAGAGATACAGAAATGTGATGTTAATGTTTGGCCAATGGTCATAAATGAATTGAATGTTGATATCTGACTGCAAGGTCCCTCATGTGACTTGTTAGAATAATTTTAACTCATTCATTGCCAGCATGTAGTCTAGCTTACTTGAAATTAGCCAATAGAAGCAATACTGATTCTCTGACAAACAGTCTATTTTTATAAAATAAATACTCTAAATTAATATTTGAAAGGTGAGTAAAATTATTAGATTTTATACAGTCTTATTTTATTTTCAGGCTATTTCTAATGTATTAAAATTTGTGAGCAGTTTTTTTTTTCAGATTTTTGAATTTTTTTTTAAGCTGTTTCAATTTAATTAACTGAATTTGAATAAAAAATGCTTGAGTTGAAAGGATTCAGATATTAATTTGTTATGTTTTGTGAGGTTTTGTTCCAAATCTTAATAGATTCATTGCCAAAAGATTCTCCAAAGTAAAAACAAAGAAGTGGCCTACAATGACTATGAAGCTGATACCAGTGGGAAATGAGTCCCTTCTTATATAGGGGCAGTGATAGTCATGCCAGCCCAGGGACTGACTGCAGTTGCAACTATACTGCATATAACCATAAATTATTTTTTTTTATTTAGAATTATACAGTAATTTATATCTTTTTTTCATATATTTTATGAGTATAAACTGTACCCTTAATACCTTCAGCATTTTGCATGTTTAAATTTGTTTAGAATAACTGAGAAGCTATTGGAGATATCAAGCTGTACCCTCATGATTTTGGAAAGATTTTGATAAACTTAAAAATTTCAGGCTCAGCTGTATGTTGTCGTTGCTAGTGAGTAAATTCTCTGCATGCCCTCCATTTAGGTTTATATTTCATCATATTTTGAGCTGCTTTGTGTGTGTTGTGACCCACATAGAGAAGCCATTAGAGCCTAAAACTTAACTTTTCTAGTACCAGTATATGAGTAAATTAGAATTTAAATTTAAAATGGATTAAAGTCTTTATAAGACAATCACATGTGCTTTTTTAAGAAATAAAAAATTTTCCCCTTTTTAATCAGCTAGATAAATCAAACCAATCTAAAGGTGAGGACACCTGTCAGAAGCTTTTCATCCCACGGAAGAAAAATCCCAATCAGATAAACCAAACTAACAAAACAGTTTCTGAAGTATGCTATGAATCTTGACGAGTTCCTCTGTCACTAAGAAAGAAATTCTGTGGAAGCAGTATTTTTTTAGTTTTTTTTTTTGGAAAGAGGATGAGTCAAAAAATCTTCCAGAAAGATGAAAGAGGCTTATACAGCCCCCCTTCCCTGTTAGAGTGTACTGGTATGTAACATTCATAAAACATTAACCAGAAGCAAAACTTAACTACGAACATATCTCTTTTTTGCAAAATGACTGCATCAGGGAAATAAATTCCAAGAAAGACAAACTTAAATGTCTACATTTACAGTCAATGTCTCAGGAGGACAGGGTTATAACTCTTCATCTGCAAAACAAAGGGAATGGAAACTTATTTATTGCTAAGAGAAATTTGATGAGCAGAGCCACTTTAGGGAGTGGAGGATGTTCTAACCTTTGTGTTCTTGCCTCCAAATTTAAAAGAGAAATGTGTCAACTATGAACACCCACAATGAAATCCTGCACAAATGCAAGCTAAAATGTCTACGTACTTAGGATCCAGCTTGCTGAACACCCCAGTCATTGCCTGCATTGAAGCTTTGAATCTGGTTTATATCATGACATCTCTTTATAAATATGACCCAACTTTCTCCTGTTCACTGTACATTGTGGTTTCCAGACATCGCTGAGGCAGCCAGGATTCAGCGCCTTTGTACACATTGTCCTCAACTTGGGCAGCCTATGTCCATCTGCAACAAATTATTACCAGCTGCATCTTTTTACTTGCGTCTAAACTAATTAAGCTTGAATAAGGCTTTGTGTGGCAGGCCAGGACAAAATCATGTACAACTGTTGTGATGAAATACAAGGTTCAAAGACCTAAATGAAAAAAGAAGTTTTGTATCTTCTGATAAAAATTAAATTTGATTTGTGATAGTATGTCGTATTAGATTAAAATGCATTGAATAAAAACACAGAAATATATTCTGTTTCTTTTGTTTTTAAACAATTAAAATTATTTAACACAAACCAACAATCTAATTGCTTCTTTTCCATAGATTCATCCAAGTCATTTAAAACAGCAGAAGTTGTGAAGGACGACTCAGTCTATGCAGTTTAATTGAGGATAATTCATTGGATTTCTCTGTTGATTAAAAAGTTGAGCTAATTTTGAAAATAAGTTCTACTTTCAGAATGAAAACCTGCCAGAGTAAATATGCAACATACTTCCCCTCTAACTGTTCTCTCATTTTTTTCCACATCTGCTTCCAATTTTCAACTAAGTTCTGTTTTTAGAAACATTACCCCTTAGTTGTGCAATTTTACAGCCAGTCAAAGTCCCACGTTCTTCTGACTGATTATTGATTGTTGACCTTGAACTTGGTTTCCCCCAGACATCCCATGTCCCATTTGCTTTGCATTGGAGTTGCCTATCGGTTGTGTTCTATAAAGTTAGTAAGTGGCTGGAACAAAGTATGCATCAATACACTGTTGCATGCTTATGCGATGTGATCATGATGTAAACAAAACAGATGTGAATTCAAACTTCCCAAAGAGACTACATTTTTTCATCAATGTACACATTAACGGAGTGGCTCATTTTCACAAAGCTCGGGGTAAACCCGTTTCCTGACTTATATCAAGGATCTGGGAGACCTCAGTGTAACTGTAGGGGACTGTTATTTAACATCAGGATCTAAAGCATCTTTTCATTTAAAAATCCTGTGGAAGTGACCATGCATGGAAACAATGAGCAATGCTCTCACCTTAAAAAAGAAGAACCCAACAAAATTAAAAAGGAAACGAAGCCAGGCTGGATAGTGTCGCATCACCTCTGTCATAACAACACCTGGGTGGACCGAGTTGGCAGTAACGCCTGTCAGGAAATAAGGAAACAAATGGACTTGGATTACTGAATGGGATGATGTGAACATTTGAAGTGTAAAATATTTGCTAGAGGGAAACTGTTCATCAGAAGTTTGTTTGCGCCTGAGTGAGCATCACATTAATTATTGGGTAACAAACATAGATTTGAACAATCTATTTTCCAGGCATGGGTGACTGTAGGGATTATAACTTGTTTAAGTTTTCAAAATTGAAGTAGCTTTCACAAGTCTGAGGTTATGTTGAGTTTTTTTTTTTTTTTTTACAATCATCAAGGGCTTAAATTTTAACACACAAGCTCATATGTGCTGCAGAGAAATTACCCAGCTGTTCTTAGGCACTGACGAAGGCAAAACCCTGACTTCAGATTTGTTAGGTTGGCGTGAAAAAGTAGCAAGTAAAACAACACTGCATTTAGCACTTAGTAGAAAACAAGAGAAAATGGAGAGAGATGCCAAAACTTTGCAATTCATGTGTCAGGAATTTCTAAGACAGGAGGATTTTCTCTAAACAAACCAGTGATTTCCAAACACAACAACACTCTCAGACATAAACTGTTTCAAACCAAAGACAGAACAACCAAAGAAAAGCTGAGTCACGTTATTTATGTCGTCCAGTGTATCAACATTGACCTTAAATTTCCCATATATAATTAAGTAAATTAACTAGAATATTATCAGTAAAATCCTTTTGGATAGTAAAAAGGGACCTACCGGTGCCCTGTAACCTTCGAGCCAGCTCATTGGTGCAGATGATGTTGTGCAGCTTGGTGTGATTGTAGACTTGATCCATGGTGTACACAAGGTTTTTCCCATGAAAGTGAGAGAAGTCCACTTGACCTCTCTTGTGGTTGAGGGAGCTGACGGTAACGATACGTGCAGGAGCTGAGCGCTTTATGAGTTCTAGAGCAAAAGGCACACAAAAAAAACCCATAGTACAAGGGGAGAAAGATAAGAAATGTAATTTCAATGGAAATATGCTATATGCTACTAATTCTTAAAATGTTGTTGCAGAAAATAAGACGCATCAGCATACCCAGCAGCAGGTTTGTGAGCAGAAATGGTCCCAGATGATTGGTGGCAAAAGAAGCTTCAAACCCATCTTTGGTTATCTGTCTGGGGAGACCTGTCACCAACAGTTAGATATAAAAATGTGTGCAGAACAACAAGCATCAAGATCTACTCCTATACAAAACCAAGTGTTATTATAAACATGCATCTAAATCCTTCCCTCCTCAGTATTTTCTTGGGATCATATGACCAATCAAAATAAATATATGGTTTGCTCTTACAGGTTTTACATTCAGAGACCTAAATGTGTATTTCCCCATACAATAGATCCCTAGTGAGATACTATGCTGTGACTTGCTGTGTTGACTTTCACTGCATTGTTTCAACAGCATTTTTCCTAATTCCCCTACCTTTGCTAATAGCTATATTGTTCATAGATTCTCCCATCATTTAGCAGCTACCGATCTATCTTTGGCCCTGTTCTCCCTGCACATCCTGTTCAGATTCAGTGGAGGCCATGTTAGTAGATGGACCATGGATGGTCAGTACAGCAGACATCTACTTACTGTGGCTTTTACTGATTATAGATATGAGTAATTTTTATGGATTATTAATCTATATATGTACATTCTACAAACATTTATTCATTATGTTATATTATATATTATATTTATGAATAATCATGAAATGCACTGTTATATGTTTTGTTTTGGGGTCTCTCTGGGTACTCTGGCTTTCTCTAACATTCCAACAACATAGATGTTAGATTAATCTCTTTCTAAACTGCTCTTAAGGAGGAATGTGTACATTTGTTTGTCTTGCGATGGACTAACAACCTGTCCAGTGTGTTACGCACTTGTCGCCCAATGACCAATGGAAATAGGCTCCTTCTCCCCGTGAGGACAAATGCTCATGGACAATGGATGGAGGGATTCCAATTTATGTACAGTCTCCACTTAAGTATTATTATCCATTTCATTCAATGTATTTACCACTAAATCTATACAGTACTTTTATCTGCAGTGTTTCCATCCTAATTTCCTCTACGTGATTGTTTTTCCAGAGTTCTTTATGCTCTATAATTGATGGATTTATCTTAGTTAAATAAATTCCTGAATACTTTATTGCAATTAATTATTTGTTTTATCTGCTTGTTTACTTGATTTGATCTTTAGATTGTGCATTTGTATTTGCTTAAATGTTTTTGTGCTTTGTATTTTAAATCTCTGTAGAGCAGTTTGAGTTTCACTTAAGAATGCTTTACATATAAAGTTTGATTGATTGATTGAAGGATTAATTGAACACATCCTAACTCCTTTATCTCTGATCTGTGTGCTGTTTTTATAAGTCTTTTTGTTTTCACAATGTTCTCTAACAAGTCTCTGAGGCCTTTACAGGACAGCTTAAACAGTTTAAACAACACACAGCTTGTTTTGATTTATATCTAAACTCTGGATGGTCTTTGTTCAGTTGCTCTGGGATTTATGTGGGCATATTAGGATGCATTTATTGGAAAGCTCCACTTACATTTCAGATTTATTATTTTTTAAAGAAAAACCAAAGGGGCATTTTGGAGTTCATCTACCCATAATGCACTGCTTCATGTTGGCCTATGACAAAAAAGTCCCTCTCTGTTGTTTAAATATGGCTGATGTTCAAAATGTTAGGCACTGCTGCCTGAGACTCTGGAAATTATGAGGCGACCTTGACACCTCCTGAACCTCTGTAATAAAAAAGACCAACCTTTGCTCTTTCAATGCCAGAGAGGTTTTAAAGTTCTTTATCTGTTGCTCTGTTTCTGCAGTTCATGTATTCATACTGATCAGGTTTGTTCAAACTCTGCTATTCCAGTTCGCTTTTTGGTTTTATATTAGAACATGACAATTTTTTATTTCTATTAATATGAAATATAAAATAAACACATTTATTATTTTGTCTAAGATGGACCTTACACAGTTGGTGGACAAGAGGAGAAACATCTTGACTGGCTTTAGACTTTCTATCTGAGGGCAGATACAGGGAAAGATGAGGTCTATCCACCCATCCTAAACAGGACTGTTATTGGAAGGTTCAGAATATTAAAATCTACTCCCCTCCCCACTCAATTCCACTTATAGACTGGATATTACACTGTGCTGTACTTTGTTACATGGATTTTAATTCTACATTTATTTTAAATATTGATAAATGGCCTGTATTACTGTTTTCAAGCCTTGTGTATTATGTGATTTGAACATTTTTGTTCGTAAACAATTCACTCTTAGCACCCAAAGTAAACTTCAATGTGTTAACATACATTGACTATAATGATTTTACCTGCTCTGAAAAAAACAGGCGAGCTGCATTTTGGAGAACTAAAGGCAACATCTGTATTTGTTCAGTTCAGCTTTCCTCATCAACAATGTGTAATCCAGGGTCTCGCAAACATAATGGCATGCCAGCAAACAATCCAAAGGTTCAGTCAATGTCAACTAATCTAAACATTTATCTAATTATTAGCTCTTCCTGATTCCATGAATACTTTTTAAGCTGTTGCTCTTATCCAACTCTGATATTATAACGTGTTAACCAGAATGCATATATTTTCTAGTTCTACAAAGAAAAGAAATTTGATAACAGTTGCTGAGTGGATTTAAATAGTGAGCGTTGTTCCTTCATATTTGTGTTGTCATATGCCTCACAGATGGGGAATAACAGACAGAAAGCTCTTTTGGGGGGTTTCCACATTGTTATATGTTCTCAACCCTTTCCTTTGAAAATTGTTTAACTCATGTGAAGCTTAACAAAGATAATTTGGTTACTAAATGGTTGTGGGTCCACTTTTACAAATGGTCCAGAGTCTCCTGAGATTGCAATTACCCAATTCAGCAGAAGTAAACAGGGCTTTTGTTTGTGCAGTTGAATTTCTTGGTTTAAAATGAAAACTTGCGTCACCTGATACTGCAGCATTGTTTACAAGAATGTGGAGTGATTTCTCCTCCTCCAGAATCCTCTTTGCAAATGCTCTGACAGACTCCATGGAGGAGACATCCACAATGCGCAGATGGACGTCTGAGTTCCCTGTAATCTGCTTGATTTCAGTAGCAGCTGCTTGGCCCCGGGACTCGCTTCGGCAAGCCAAGATGACCCGCGCCCCACGCCGAGCAAAGTCCAGGGCAATGAACTTCCCAATTCCTAGCAGAGTGATAGATAAAAAATATATTAATCAAATGAAAACCAAGGAATAAACACGATTTTTACTGTAGAAAAAAAATATTTTTACTGCTATTGAAGAATGAATAATATGAAAAAAATGTTTATCAACCAAGCAATGATATTTTCTTAATAACATCTTAAAACCAAATGCTACAGGGAGAAAGGGCTACCTCGCTGAAGTATCATCACTGGCTGAACCTTTTAAAATACTACAGTGCAACAAGCAGATGGCTCATTGTTTTACTTTGAAGATCTGTGTGACAGACCAACACAAAGTTGTATATAAAATATGAAGTGCAATAAAAAGATATATGGTTTTTGGCGTTCATTCAGCCCTCTAAGCTCTGGTACCCTTACATTCAACTCAAGCCAGCTGATTACATTCATGTGTCACTTAATTAGCAGAGCAGAAAAGAATCCATCTGGATATGATTTAAACCACACCATACAATCTAAGTTTAGACAAAGCTGCTCAGTGTTTCTCCTAAGTAGCTGCATAGAAAACATTAGGGAAAACATGGCGTCATGAAGACCAAAGTACACAGCACTGATAAGGGTGGGGTGAAGTTGAAAAATTAGGTTTAATTAAATCAATATCCAAAGCTAACATAAAATTGTGGGTATAAATGTAATCTAATTTTCTATCTATTTATTTTCCCTTTCATCAAACCAAGACTATTTTAATAGAATAAAATATCTCTTCCGGTAAGGAGTTCTGGAAGAGATTGAAGGCTAAAATGTCCTTCATAAAAACCTGATCCGGCAACAAAAAGCTAATTTGTAAACACACTACCTCAATGGTCAAAAACCATGGTGGCTGTGTTGTGCCATGTGCCATGATCATAGTTTTTGGACAT